ACAAAAGACGGCCCGTCGGACTGACAAACGGTCGGACGGACGAACAGGGCTAAATCGTCTTAGAATTTTACTCGGATCAAGAATATATATACGTTGTTGGGTCTAAAATAAATATTTCGATGAGTTACAAACGGAATGACGAACTCAATATACCCTTCATACTATGTATTGTGGAGGGTATAAAAATAATAAATTTCAAAAACCGAACCATGGCTCAAAAAATAGCCTGAATCACTGAAAGGAACCAACCCAAAGCGACAAGTGGTTTACAGTCCTGCTTTATATAATATCTTTCAACACCAGAGACCACCATAGGAAATTCCTAGCTTCCTCAGAATTTAACTTTGAAAAAAAGAAAAGCAGTACTTAGTACTTTTTTGTACTACCTTTTAAATTATTGGTTCGTGCAGTGCTAATCGTTAACATATCTTGTGTATATAAATTGTGTATCTCAAACAGTTTTATGATTCAAAAAAAATTTAGTTTTTTTTTTTTTTTTTAGTTTTTTTCTTAAGATTTCTACCAAACCAAATAAAACAAGATTGCCAATATGTAATGTAAACAACTCTGCCTCCTATTTAACAATGGGTTAAAAGCTTGTCTTTGGTGAACTAAAAAAAAATCGTACCAAATCTTGAACTGAAAACGTGATTGCCATGACTTTGGTTTGCTTGCGGCCTATGAGGTTGGCCATTTCGTTTTCGGTTATCAAGAAATGGTGAATGAATCAATAACTTGTGGAAATGAGCAATTTGTAGTGCAAATAGTTAGGCCTATGGTCGATGGAGACACGCTCATGGCTAAAGTCATATTTATAGATCCACCAAATGGAGGAATCCATGAAGAAATTCAAAACCCGTCTCCATCCATTAGCCAGTTTTTTGTTCTCTACCGCCATATCAAGTTGTTCACAACGTACGTTAAAAATCAGTTGGTCACTTGCCAGAACACTGCCAGAGTCCTGATTATGCATTAAAAAAGAGAGACTACGAAATATGCATCCATCCTCAAGCTGCTGGCAGTGCTGCAAGTTATTAATCTTCGCAAACAACTGCACTTGCATGTGCGTGAGTCTGTTTGTTCGGATGTTGATCTCTATGCAAATGTATGTCGCAGTCCCGTTAGAATGGAATTGATTCTTGTTGCTGCAAAATTTGCCTTTGTTTTTGTGCCGCATGGATTCGTTCCAGCTGCACTTCCATGAACTCAAATCATAAACCCAGGCATGTGGGGTTAATTTGTTTCTGCCAACCTGCTTCTCGAACGACGACTTGGTTAGAAAACAAGTTCCACGAGACAAACGATTTGCAAGACATGTTCATTTGGATGGGGGACTACCTCAACCATGGAGTATGCGATAATTGTTGTTGTTCTTATCAACCCCCCAGCGCACCATCGTCTAATTTGAGGAAATGAAGAAATTTGCCCAGATAAAATCAACTGAGATTTTATTGTGAGTGTAAATATTTAACTATGAACGAAACGGCAGAAGAAGAAGAAGACAAAGTTAAACAATGCCAATGGTGATGGTGGTTTTACCTTTTCTTGTTGTCGTTGTTTTTTTTTTTTCTTCTTTCCTCCTCTTTTTGTTTAACGTATTTGTTCCTAAAGATAAGAAATCCATCAGATAATTACGTGAGAGAAAGTTAAAAAACCGCTGTCACTGATTTAACAGCAACAAAAACAAAAAACAAACAAACGCACGAATGAAGACCACAAGAACAACAACATCAGCTCCGCAGCAGCAGCAGTGGCTGTAATGCCAATCATACTGACTGACTTGTCTTGTAGAGCTGGAGATGTGTTATTTGGAAATTTTTCTAAAAAGTGGAACATTTAATACGAGACAGGTTGCTGCATCAGTTACAGCTGGGGAGGAGAGATGACACTGCTGCGGCTGCTTGAAAGTTTTGTGGGTGTGTATTGTCAATGCTGATGCCCCAAAGCCCATTGCAGTGCTGGTTGCTGTGTGCCCGCAAAGGAAGCAAACGAATAGTACAACTGGTTGCAGAAAACATCTGCAATCCTCCAATTCATTCGACATTCCAATTCCTTGGCCAGAGGTAAAACCAAATGCTTTCTTCTCCATGGAAAGCGTTTCGAACTCAATTCAATTCTATGCCACATGGAATGTTTGCCAGCCTGTGTATGTGTGTGATTGTGGCTATCACGTTCTTCTAATGGAAACCTGATACATTCCAATGGCCAAATACACATCCACATAAACAGGTTAGCTAGAACAAGTGCGCCTACTTCTTCATTACTAAAACAAACAAATCGAAACTTGGCTATCGAAGAATTTATAGCGAACCCATGCAGGGGGATTGGTGAGGGGTATTCAAAACTATTTGTTTTATATTGACCTAAGAAATGCCATAAAGCTGAGCTGTTCTTGATTGTGACGAACATTGGCCAAATTAATAAAACAGGCATTGATATTTAATTTGGGCTAGAAGATTCGGACAGAATTAGAGATATGGGACAGATATCGAGGCAGTCGATCTTCATCATTGGATACTTGACGCCAAGAAAAACGTCTGAATTTCGAATGAGATGGTGTACCGTGATAGGTAAGAGCTAAAGCTCTGAATCCAGACAAAATGACGAAATGTACGGAAATGAATATAGCTATTAAGGGGACGACTAGATCTAAAAATCGAGAATTTGATATGTCAGTCACTATTTGCGTACACGGTTGAGATAAGACTATTTCGTACTAAAAATTAAAAAAAAAACCTACTAACCAAGCTACTGATCGGAATTTGTACGTGGTATCCGTCGGTTTTGCCCACAGATCTATACCCTCAGCCAATGTTCGATAGCAAGTTGCAAAAAATCGCTGACTTGTTTCGCAAGTAATGACAGATAAAAGTATTGAAAATTGTGACCCTTTGTGAGTGAGGTACCAGAAGGGGTTAGCAGATAAATATGATCTTCAAAACAAATCTTGTGTTAGCAAAAATAGCAGATGTTAGTAGAAATAATAGGATGTGTGAAATATTAAGATAACCGGATGCTTATTTCGGATTTTCTAATCGTTTTGATTATTCAAAACGTTGACCCTTTGTGGGGGAGGTACCAGAATGACTGGACCGATCTCTAGCATATTTACAACAGATCTTGTGTTGATAAAAATATTGAGATGTGCAAAGTCGGATGGAGTCGGATATTAATTTCGCGTTTTATAAGCTTCAGGCGTATTGAAAATGTTGACCCTTTTGTGGGGAAGGTACCAGACCTTGGGTTAATAAAAATATTGTAATGCGTGTAATTTGAAGACGGTCGGACTCTTAGATCACATATTATTAGAGTTATAATAATTTAAAATTCTGACCCTTTGTGGGGGACGTACTTGATGGAGTGACCGATATTGTCCATTTTAGCACTTGGCGTAGCACTGATGCAAATATTAGGATTTGCAAAGTTGGAACAAAATCGGATTATCCTTTCTCTTTCTGTGCAGTAAATTATTTCCTTTTAAAATTTTGATTTTTTGTGGAAGGTACCAGAAGGTGTCGACCGATATGCCCATCTCCGAACTCGATCTAAGTTTGATAACAATATTACGATGTACCAACAATATTACGTACGAACCAGCTAGATACACAGTCGGACGGACGGACATCGCTAGATCGACTCGAAATGTCTGGAAACGGATTTGGTCCAAAGAGACGTAGGGTCTAAAACCGTTATTTCGATTAAACAAGTTTTGGCCGTATTAAATGATATATACCCTCTGTAGCCATATGACTGAGGGTAAAATGGAATAGTAATAGGTCATTGCGTAAAGCAATGCATAGGAATATGTTTTCATCCTCCTTAATCGATTTGCACTGTGGAAATGCCTACTGAAATTTTAATTGTCAATTTTCGATTTCGTGTCCCAAAGTTTTTTAAAATCGAAATTTTAGGTTTCATGTGGTTTGATTGTCAATTTTCGGTTTCGCGTCCTAATTTTTTTTAAAATCGGAATTTTACTGAGCTGAAGTAAAATTCGAAGACCTATGTTCACCACGTAAGTGGGCTTTTTTGTAATTGAATCGGGAAAGACTTGTTTGCGAAACTGAAATAAAATAACCAGTTTGGCCTGGTTAAAAGTTCTGATTGCTCATGAAATATTTATAGTGTCTGCGAGGAAGTTTTCAATGTTTTCCAAATTCATTGCAATTATGGTGTCTCCAAAATATTTAACTACTTCTGTAAGCAACGTAATACGGTTTATAAATTATTTCATATTTTGTCCCAACGAAGACATTTTCATGCCTTCAGAAGCTTTCTTTGGTGTTTTCAACTTCTTTATCTTTAACTGCCTACTTGTATTGAAGTCGGCATTTTTATAAATAGAAACATTTCATAGCCACCATTGCCGTGGTAAAAAGGTTAAAAAAATTAAAATAGTCTCCACATGGTGAGAAATGTCGAGGCAATTAACATCTGGCAGAGTTCACACACACACACTCACACATTTAATTTAATTAAACCTCCCAGCACTTCGTCTCCCTAATTGCACCTGTTTTTGACGTCAAATTTAATTTAATGTAACATTTTATGGATCGTTGGTTGACAAGTACAAGATAATGTCTAAATTACATTATTTCAAAAACAAAAGACTTAAGACACAAACTTGAAAACCTGTTTAAAAGCGCTGCGACTCATTTACTTCACACAATTAAAACAAAATAATCTCTTGTTTTTTCGGATGTGATAAAAAAGAAATGTCTAATATGTTGATTGACATGAAAGTCAGTCTAACAATTTTTTACTTAGCCGATATCATCTATAATTTGTTAAGAATTCCCTGCCTTTTCTGCTAAGAGGAAATGCATACCGAAACAAACTAATGGCATAGATTTTGAGTTTGTCATTTTTATTTTTTACTTAGCCGATATCATCTATAATTTGTTAAGAATTCCCTGCCTTTTCTGCTAAGAGGAAATGCATACCGAAACAAACTAATGGCATAGATTTTGAGTTTGTCAACAATTGGGATTTAAACTTACATTGTGCTAAGCTGGGATTATCCACAAAAACGGGATTGGCCGATGCTGTTGTTATCAACGTCACCAGCACCAGGGTTGTTATGCTGATCAAATTCATCAGACTGCTCAGCCTGCTTCTGGTGCTGGGCGCTGACTTCTGTGCTGCTGACGGGCTGGAGACATTGTTGAGCTTCTGATACTGACAACGACGTCCCGGATGGGTATGGTTTTTGATTTGTGTGAAATGTTTTCTCAGCTTGGTGCAGAACACGGTGGCTGCGGATGGCGCTTCTTTGGCTTGGCAGGTATTTTTTCCGGTGCTCATGGTTGCATAATCACAAAATATGGGGGGCGAACTACTCGTCGCTTTCATTGGTTTATCTGACCCCATCTGAAATGAAACAAAAACGAAAGAAAGAAAGACATAACAAAAGGTTAGTCATATGCAGATCAGAGTTAGTCAATGCGTTAGCAGTTAAGGGTCGTCCTCACGCATCAGCTTTGATGCGGTGTGGTCAATTGTGTGTAACCAGGGGGTGAGTCATTTCAAATGAATTGGCTTGGCATCGGAGTGGCATACCAAAACAAAGATTATGAAAGTACTTGGTAAGTCCCATGAATATGATGATTAATGAAATTTCTTGCAGCTATTAATGACACACCGCCATCGAGGAGGGTTTCTTGTAATGACTTTTTATTGGGAAATCAAATCGCATCCAAGTTTACCTCGTTGTGTGATGCCCAGTTTCTTAGGAAGTCGATAAGCGGCGTTTCTGGGCCACACTTCGTTAAAAATGTTGTCTAACAGTTTGGCTTTCTTCCTCACAGAGATGTTTAATGTACCAACTCCTCTCCCTCCCTTTTCCAACACTACTTCATCTTAAGTTCATGGCAGTAGTTGTCTTGAGCAAAAACCCAGAGAAGTAAAAAAAGTTAACGCCACTGTCTTAATATAACTTACGCCTTTTGTTGGGTTAGAACAATGTTTTTCTTCTTCTCCCCATTCGCCGTCATCCAACCTCCAACGCCACCACAGTTGTCAACGTTTCTTTCTCCATTAGCTCTTGACTGATGAAGACATGAATTATGTCTACCTCTTGCGCCGACATAAGTCTTGCGTAACAGGTCGTTGACACAAACATCTCTAGTGACAATCACAATTGTTTTTTTCTTTCTTCTTCTTCTTTATTTTGCTAAGATGAATGGCAAGAACGAGAAGAAAGAAGAAAGGTTCTGGGGTTCTTTGTAAAAGAAAAGAAGCTCAAGCATAAAGGCAATGACAAAGGGCTGACGATTTGGTAGGTTTTTGGTAGTTTTAAAATCCATTGTGATTCTGAAGGGTTGGTTTTGGGGGAACTTTGGGTGAAAAATGAGTATATTTGAAATCAATTGATAATCAATTGTGGCCTCAACCAATAAATATGAGTTTTAATCGATTTTTAAGGCATTTACAAAATTGAGTTTGCGGGGAGATCCCAAAACCTATTGCCAAAAATGTATACAAATTATAACTAATTATAAACATGGATATATTTAATGTGCCAAAGGAGTCTCTTTACTAAAGGCGGAAATATTTCATAGAAAACTAAATAAAGTACTTCGATGGAGAAGACATCCTGTAGCAGTCGCATGATTTTTTTTAAGATTTGTAAGTTATTTTGATCGTTAATCGTTTGGCATAGGATTTAATCCGAAACAGAACAAAATGTATAATTTTTCATATCTGTTAAAAGGGTATATTATCATTTCCCGCAAAGATTATTTACCCCCTTCTGCGATTCTACGATCAAAATCTCTCTTAGAACAAAAACCTTAGTCATCTTTATTTTTGCATCAATTAAAAACCATTTGTTCGAAAAAATTATGTCGCTAAATGGCTATATATGTCATTTTACATGGCCAGCATGAGTCTCATTAAAACAAGTGTGCCTCTTTGAACGAATTCCGTGTTAGCATATTTAGAGTAGGCCACAATAATTCCATCACTATAAGCGTGAAGTTCGAAGATAAGCAATATACCCCTTATGGTTGCGCTCCCACAAATGGTAAAAATTAAAAAAAATATTTCCCAAATTTCGATACCTGTCATCTTCACACCAGATCTTGCGTTAGTAAAAATATTTGGATGTGTGAAATTTAAAGAGAATCTGTTGCTTATTTCGCGCTCTATGAGAGATATTATTATTCAAAATTTTGACCCGTTGTGAGAGAGTTACCAGAATTAGTGGTGCGATATATCCCATCTTCGCATCAGATCTTGAAAAAGAAATCGTATGTTTATTTTGGCGTTCTGTAAGCTTTATGGTTACTCAAATTTTTGACCGATTGTGGAGGGGGTACCAGAAGTAGTGTGCCGTTATATCGGTTCTATATACCTGATATTGTTTTAGGGCAAATATTAAGATGTGCGAAATTTGAAGACCATCGGACTCACATTTCACATTTTATAACAATTATTATTGTTCCAAATTTTGAACCTTTGTAGGGGAGGTACCAAAAGGAGTGAGTCGATACATCGCACCTTCACACCAGATCTTGTGTTTTTTCGTGTTTCATGAGCGATATCAGTATTCAAAATGTTGATCCGTTGTGGGGGAGGTACCAGGAGGAGTGATTCGGCCTATCCCATCTACGTACCAGACCTATAGTTGTTAGAAATATTGGGATATGCGAAATTATTTCACAATTTAATAAGCGTTGGGAATATTCAAATTGTTTACCCTTTGTGAGGGAGGCACTAGAAGAAGTCGGTCTGTATTGTCAAATTTCGCACCTAACCTAGGGCAAATACAAATAATAAGTTTGAACAAAAACGGATGATCATTTCTTGTTCTGTGAGGTAAATAATTTTCTGTCAAAATGTTAACCTTTTGTGGGATAGGTTCCGATATTGGCCATCTCCATGCCAGGAGTGGATCGATATTGGCCATCTCCGAATTCGATCTATGTTTGATAATAATATTACGATGTACCAAGTTTAGATCATACATCAGAGAGATGGACGGACGTACGGACATAGCTAGATCGACTCCAAATGTCCTGAAACGGATTTGATCCAAAGCGACCTAGGGTCTAAAGCCTTTATTTCGATGCGGCACGTTTTTGCTATATCAAATGATATATACCGCCTCTAGCCACATGGCTGAGGGTGTAACTGGCCATTTGAGGCGGAAAATCAATAGAGAAAAGAAAAGAGGCAATACCCGATTTAGTTAAAACTTCGATCTCTGCAATTTTTGTGTGAGACTTAGGTTAAATACGAAAAAATATAATATAGACCCACTCCGTTTGGTACCACGAAAGGACACAATTATAATAACCATTAATTTGAAAATATAAGAACTCCCTCCATTATATGAGAAGTTGGATATTTTCTTGAAAATTTTAACATTTTGTGGGGCAGGTACAAGAAAAAGAAAGGTGACAAAAAGAAAAGTAACAATATTAAGATTTTTTCCACCTTTGCTTCCAATATTGCTACCTTAATGGAATCCTTTGATTCTTTTTTTTTGTGTACCTCCCCCACAAAATGTAGGAATTTTGAAGAAAAAATTCAAATTCTCGTATAATGGAGGGATCCTCTGATATTTTATAAACGGCCAACAGTCCTGAATACCATATGATGTAAACGTAGTCAGTGACCACGTCCAAAATTTGCAAATCCTAATATTTCTATTAAATATAGGCCATTCTCAAAGGATAAAAACTGAAATTTGCCAAAAGATAACTTTGTCATGTAATGTTACAAAAATGTCAGAATAATAATTTACGTCCCTGGGACCGGCTATACTGGCGAATAACTTCTAAAAGTACCCTTACAACTGGTCAATTTTTGAAAACTCATATCATTCGAGAGGTGTATCGAAATTGACCCGATCTTTACACTTCATTATATTTCGATGAATTAAAAAACAAAGACATGTCAGTCTTTGAAATGGAGAATCCTCTTTTGCATTTCATTTCTCATTTGCCTTCTGTTAATAGACTATTTCCAAATCTCGTACAATTCGGTCCTTTGTATTGGGCTTATACAAATCAATACGAATTGGAAAACTTTGAGAAAACATATATTTTCAAATCAGTCTCCTAATTCGATTTTTGTAAAACAATCCCTTCTCAAAATATAGCCTATTTTTGTTTCATTTCCTAATTTTTTTAAAACAGCAGTTTGACTTTGAAAGATTTTTGAGCATTTTTTGTGGTTTTGGAGGAAAGCCGATATAAAGAAATCTTTTTCTATGGCAATTTCAACATTCGAAACTCAAATATTTTTACACCCCGCAAAATAATCTCCTGGGACGAAAAAAATATATGTAATAGATGAGGGTATGACAATCAAAAACTTTGAGAATTCTACGTTCTTTGAACACATACTTTTTTGCACATCTAAATATGTATGTGTGTCTGAAAGCAAAGCAAACACCCAAACACTTTTTTCAACACTGGCGTTCTGATATGGCTAAACTGGCTAATCGATTAAATCCATTAACAGGTTCTCTGGCACGAGATTTTGGCCTAATTTCCATACCAAAAAAAGAAAAAGAAAAAATCACACCTAGTAGGTTAACAGCGAATTTGGGTCACGTTCTTTGTGTTCGATTTGCAAATAAACATGTCTCAATGGATATCAGTGTATGTGTGTGTGTACGTGTGCCAATAACACAAACAACATTTTACGAGTGGAATTTCGCTTGTTTTTGGAAATGATGGAGGAATCTATAAACAACAATGAAAAAAAAAAAAACATTGTTGTAACACTTAAAAGCTCATTTGCAATTGAAGTTAACCCGCAGCCGGACATTTGGCCAACAGCTTCCGTCTGTGTTCGAGTTCGTGTGGGTTCGAGTTGTACACACACATACACTCACACTCTCGATGATTACTCATGGAATAAAAACGCACTACTAAAAGTGAAATTAATTTCGTTCATATTTTTTTTTTGTGTTCGAGTGTGTGAGTGTCCGTGCACTTGTGTGGCCATCACAAGCGTCATATCTCTGTGTACGATGGAAGGAAGGGAAGTTTTACAATCACTTTCTGTGTATTGGTGACGATGAATATATACGGGTTTTTTGTTCCACAGCTCAGCCGTTGTGTTGAGCATTTGTCGTTTTTTAAGTGTTTTTATTTGATCAGCGAGAATGTTAAAAAAAGCGAAAGTTTTTTATTCAGACTACGGCGAGGAGGAGCGGGCTAGGTAGGGTAGCCATAAATGGCAGCTTTTACCCACACTTTGGCCTTTTTGGTCTGTCATAATTTCTGAATAAAAGTGAAAAGCAAGCAAATGTCTTGGACGGTTCGCGACATCGCAATGTGGGCAAAAGCTGAAAAGAATCTGCTGCGGGAAGATGCGACTGGCTGACTAGTTGGCTGGCCGGTCGTCACAGTCGAGCTAGCCCCACCATCATCACCACGCATTATGTTAATGTTCACAAAATACTACATAACAATTTGTCCGTTTGTCAGTTTGTTGTATTGTTTGTTTTGAGAGCGGTTTAGTGTGTGTGTGTGTAAGTGTGTTTTACTTCTTTGGCATATTTATGGCAGTTTTATTGAAATCAAAGAAAGACGAAAGAAATGATTCCTAAGACTTTTCTCAGATTGGCAAAGCTAACGCCATTCGCATCAGTGACAACAAAAGAATGAAATTAAAATTTCTTTTTTGACTTGTTTTCTTTGAATCCATTCCGTCGACCGTTCGTCAGACCGTCGCCACTGACGGGTATTCACCATCACCAAAAATATAACGACATAATTTTTATTTTCAACAACTTTTACTTGAACATATAAGGAGGGTCTTTGTTGAGGCATTACAACATTTCTTCTTTTCGTTGGGGTTTTTGGTTTGTTGCTGTTGTTGCTTTTCGCATTGAGCGTTGGACAACGAAAAACAAGAAGAAGAGGTGTGTGAGTGAGTGTTGATGGGTTTTTGTGTTTCTTCGTCTAATGGCAATAATGGATGTACACCGTTATGGGAGTAATATTTGTTTGTTTGCTTTCTTTGTTGCTGATGGTGATTTTGTGATTTTCTACAGAAATACATACACATGTGTGGGTATGTATGTATTTCATAACTCATTATGTCAACTCGATGACAGCACGGCGATGATACGTTTTGTGGTCAATTGTTTTTGCATTCGGAGCACCCTTTGGCTTTGATATCTAAGTATGGGCGACCAGCTATTACCTAATTGCGGAGAATTTCACTTTTTCCATCCATCGCAACGAGGTGGAAAATGCAAAGAAAGGCAGCTCACAACGGAGCAATTGAAGAGCATGGAAACAATGTTTTTGTCATTTTATTTCTATTGAAAATCAATCAAAAATGTATTACATTACAAATCCGATATAATGGAAATACGAGCCATCGGGATTCGTATAAATGAGTTCACAACTTTCTTGCATTTTAGAGTTGTGTAGCATTCTTAAAATGTTTTCAATTCAAGGCCAATTATAGAATTAGTCACTTTGAACTGGATTTAAGTGCTAATGGGATTATATCCAGTCATAAATGGAAAATAAAACCAACACTCCATTAGATTTATTTTGAAGTCAGATCCATTATGTCTAGAACGTGGACCCATAAAGTATGGGTTTAAAAACTGAACCGGGTATAAAGCCCATTGACCATTAATGTTTTATTGTATAAAAAATAAAGGCATTTCAAAGAGTAGGTTAGAAGCCAGGCCATCAAAAAAAAATTGGTATGAAATTTTACCATTCCTGAAATCTTATCTCCTAAGTGAAAAATCGAAAAAGTGTATCTGAAGGTAAATTTTATCGGAGTTTGCCAAATAAAAGTCACTATTTGCCCTTCTGGCCGATCCTATCTCAAAACATAGAATATATGTTCGCAGTGGCCGAAAAATGGCTCGTGAGCTGAACATATCGCAATATTCCATTCGGCAAAAATTTAAAAAAATGAGCTGGGGGTAAATCATTTGAAATTCTAAAAAGTGCAAGAACTTACACCGCAACGGAAAGGAAAGAGGCTCAAAAGAGATAAAGAGATGCTTCGCTTGGGCGAAAGTGGTGAGCTGCCGAATTTGGTTTTCTCTGATGAGAAAACATTCGTTGTCCAGCAGTTTGTAAACAAACAGAATGATCGTGTTTTCTTGCCAAAGAGTTCAGCTGAAAATGTGCACCCTCGGTTGGCCACCAGAACTCAAGCATTGGCCATGGTGATGGTGTGGACAGCCATAACAGCCGATGGTCGCTCTCCGCTCGTATTAATCGACCGTGGCATCAGAATAAATGCCGAATATTATCGCGAAAATATTCTGGAGGGTGTATTAAAGCCTTGGGCACGCAAACATTTTGGCCACAGACCTTAAACATTTCAGCAGAACTCAGCACCATCGCACTCAGCACGCGCCGCCCAAGAATGGTTACAAAATGAGGTTCCTCGCTTCATTTCCAGCGCACAATGGCCACCAATATCCTCGGATACCAATTCGTTGGACTATTGTGTCTGGAGTATTTTGGAAAACAAGGTTGGCACTAAAAAATACCAAAGTGTCGATCACCACAAGCAAGCGCTTCGCCGGGAATGGGCTAGAATACCGCAGAGCAACATTCGGGCAGAGTGTGATGGTTTCATTGGCCCTTTGCCAAAGGTTAACAATTCGAACAAATCTAAACTTATTCTAAAATGTGATGCTATTTCCGCCATTTTTGCTTTCATTCAATAAAACTTAGAAAAAATGTAAAAATTATGGCTTTTGACTTTGTTGCAATTTTTTATCTCACCCTGTAGACTAGGGTTGACCGAAATGAGACCAGACGAAAAGCATTGTATGAGAAAAAGAGAATATCCATGATAATGTATTAGTGACCTGTTTAGTCATTCTATGCGATTCGGGTCGTAGACGAAAATTGTCGTCTCCTGCGTGAACTGTCTGATCTATGCTGGTGTAGATCATTACCACGTGAGTGGCTGTTATGTTCATTTACATTTCTTTCACAGAGATATTTTAGAGACTGTTAGCAGGAAAACCCAGTTAATGAAGGCTTTATTTTCAAACTGTTTTATTATTGAACTGGTATCTATACCCGATTATTTACCCGAAATTATCTCAAATGGTATTTCCATGAATCACCTGCTGAGCATAGTAATGAAATCATGATAATATTTTTGTGGAAGTGATCAGAGATGGACAAGGTCTTTTGGTTTTTTATTACGTTGTTAGGTCTTATGTTGATCTCAGTGTTCTGTAACTTTTTTCAAATCTCATTTCTATAGAGATTTCGTACAAAAATAACCACTGGAGATTATGTTGTGTGAAAACTTTCTCTGCCTTTTATTTATGTTACGAGGGTAGTGTTACACAAATCATAACCCATATCCAAAAAAAAAATATTTACGAATCTGCGAAATATGAGCTGAGAATTTTGAAATTTGCCAGAAATTTGAAAGAAGTAGAATTGTCATTAGTACCACATTGTCGAAGCACTCAGACGATGCGAAATAATCATTTTGTGTTTGCCTTGATCCGTTATGCTTAAATCAAACCTAGCTTCCAGGTAGAAGAAGATGACAGAAACCCTCAAATATATTCGAAACGAAAAACAAACAAACAAACTACCAAACTAAAGAACTAGCAGCCACTGTTGTACAATGCCATCGCTAATTGCTCTTTTAGCTAGCCAACCAACCAACCAGCCAGTCAGCGATCCATGTACGAGAATTGGGGTTTATCTCACAACAATCCATTATTTCAACTTAATAAACGAAAGACTTAAGACACAAGCACAGCATGCTAAATCAAATCTGAACAGATTTGCCACTTTCAGCAAAGCGTATTCAAATTATGCTTAACCCATGGCAATATCTCACTTCCAGAACCTATAATTTTCCGTAGCATGCAAGCATTTCATTTTAATTGTCAGCCAACAGCGCAGCGAAGCAAAGAACTTGGCCAAGACCCCGAGATACTCCATCGCCCTCGTGGGGTGGGGTGGAGGCTGTGAGTCATGGAGCAGCAAAAATAGTTGGCTTTTCGATAATCTTGAAATAGATGGAAATGAAGTGGTTTTTAATTGCAGTGGCAGTGGCATTTAATTGTAAAGAAATTGATGTGATTTTTATTTGATGACGACGATCTGGTTCAGAATCTAAGAACGCTCATGAATGGCCGGGCGAGAAGTGAAGGATACCCGTTTTGGGAGGAGATTATGACAAGTGAAACGAGATATGAATGAGCTCTGTGGGGAGGTGTGGGTCATGTGGTTAGTCTTTGGTCTTAACTGAAATGGAAAAAGTGCTGCAAGCAAACTTACCACAAAGCAAGAAGCACCAACACCAATGCTGATCGCTTTGAATGGTTAAGTGGCTCTGGCACAAGGAGGAAAACAAAGAAAGACACAAATCTTCGGTGCTCCACAGTCACTCGATGCGACTGGAAATGCGATGTTCCAAACAATCAAATGAACCGAACAACAACTTTCAACGGAAATGTAGAATGTTGTAGGCCTGCTGCTGTATGTTAATATTAAGTGATACGTGCTGCTGGCTGTTGGGCCTGGCGGTTGGATGCTGATGACGATGGTAATGTGGCTGGTAACTGGCTGGCACTACTACCACTCGTTACAAGAGTGCGGCAGATGATGGCTTTAATGCCTTGCCTTGCTTGTCCATGGAGCAAGTTGGCCGGTTGCCGATAGCTGGGGTAGGAATGCTGTTAAACGATGATGGTATGCCTGTTTGGCTCTTTGTTTCTTCACTTCTACCGCTGATCTTGCAGAAGAGAACCTGTTGTGGCAACAACAGTGGAAGAAGAAGAGGCAGATAATGATGCTGTTGCAGATGATGATACCGATGCCAGCCAGTGCTTAAAACTGTGGTTATTTGGTTCGAAATGGTTGTTCTCTGGTAGGGGCAGGCAGGCAGATAACTGTTGTAAACTGTGCGTGCCTATGTGTGCATGTGTGTGTGGGGGAGGGGTGTGTGTGTGTGTTGGTATAACTTGATTTAATGTCAAACTCTTGTGCCAAAGAACCAATTTTTTTTGGGGTCTTTGTGATGTCCCTCTGTCTGTCTGTTTGTCTGTCCGTCCGTTTGCTTGCAGCTACAACATGTGTAAGTTGGAGTACATACAAGTGTACCCACTTGGCAAAATTTCCACTGTTTTTTTTTTTTTTTAAGAAAAGGGGGACGAAAAGTTGGATGGGCACTTTACCGTTTTAGAAAGTATGTTCCGGCTATCTGATAGCAATTTGCGATGCGGTAGTTAGCCAATCACAAGCGTAGTTTTTTGTCGTTCTTATTCCAGTTTAAATATCCTCTGGCTTGAGTTTGGACCATTCATAACTCTTGGTGGGCTTTGATGATGATCATAGATTCGTTGTCGTTGTTGTTGTTGTCTTTGTTGTATTTAATTTGTTAATTTCTTGTTGTATTTCACAGACTTTCTTTTACACTATTTTCCGTTTTAATGAATAACTGAACGAATGAATAAATGAGTGAGTGACTGACTGACTGAATGACGGTTAGTTTGTGGACACAGGTTTTAATTTAAATTTAATGACCCCTCCGAGGTAACCGTTATAAATTTGCTTAACACAATCTTGGTACACGACTAACAAATGCTAGATAGACGACCACTCTTCACATCAAATTATCGCATTTAATTAATTTTTATTTGTTTGTTTTTTCTTTTTTTTTTCTCTCTCTCGTCTCGAGCTGCTACAACACAAATTTGATTTTCTTTTCTTGTTGTTGGTTTTGTTTTTTGTTGTCGAGGGTTTTGGTTTGTCACAATTTCTTTTTCATTTCTCTTCTTTTGGTTTTTTGTTTTGTCGGAGATTTGATTGCGGCCGTATTCCCAAAGCCTGTCCGACAAAGGCAAATGTAAAACAGCAACTGAAGATCCGAAAGTAATAAGCTTTAGCATTAAGACCCATTTGGACGACGGCTGACTGGCTGCCTTGGACGACGGCTGACTGGCTGCCGGGCGCGATGCGACGCTTCGGTGTGGCTGCTGTTGTTGTTGTCGTTGTGGAGTTTTGTTGTTTGCTTGTCGGATGGAAACTATCTTCGGTCCGTGGCAGAGGATTAGCCAACGTCTCAAGCCAGTGGTTACGAAGTCGGCAGCAACGTCAGCGACGGCGTGGCTGAGAGCAGCATTTAAAGCCTCGCTCTTGGCTTAGCAGCTGCCTTGACTTTGACTTTGGTTAACTCCACATTACCGCTATCGTCTTTGTTTGTGTCAACAACAAAACACAAGAATTCTCACCGTCATCAACAGCAACAAGAAGAGCACCAGTTCCAGTTCCAGCAACACAACATCACCATCATCCGCCTCAAACCGTAGTATTACAGAAATAACAAAACTTCTCAGAATTTCGTTTTATTTGGTTTGGTTTGGTGGCTGGCGATATCTTCTCGGGGTTTGTTTATGGACAAAGATTTGCGTTGGTAATGCCTTGTTTAAACAGACATTTCAAATCGCCGAGTCTCTGTCGTCACTGATTAGTTCTGTGGTAATGTGAGCATGGAGGAACGCGAGAGAACTCTCTGCTTGTGTACACATGTTCGTTGTTCTTGCAAAACACCAACAACAACAACAACAAGAATATCAACAACAGAAAATGTATCCAAGAAAAAGAAAAGCGAAAAGAAACATACCTTGGGGAGCATGCGCAACAAAAGCTCAGGCTAGGTTGACTAGGAAATACCGTACAGGCTTACTTTTCGCCTTTGGGAGACATATGAGGGACATTTTTGAAGAGATACATTAAAAAAATATAAATTCCTTTTAATTCTGAACATATATTCTTGTTGGCGCTCTTTAGCTGTGAAAGTTTTTTAAACATTAGTGTATATTATAAAAAAACGACGTCCTATCCGACAACCACAGAGAAGCCAATGCCCAATTCGTTTTATTTTGAGATTTGGTTTTTATTATATCCTCCACCTTGGAAAGGAGGGTTTATTAACTTTGTCATTCCGTTTGTAACATCCTTAAATATTAGACCCTATAAAGTATATATATTCATAATCAGCATAAAATTCTGAGTCGATTTAACGATGTTCGTCTGTCTTTTGAAATCACGATACAGCCCACATTATTTGACGTAGAGCGCTGAGCAATTTGTATTGTGTCTAGGATGGTTGGTATTGAAAATGAGATATATCGGTCTACGTTCTGGAATAGTCCTCATATAACGGTACCTCCCGATATTCGGTATTTTGATGATTTATGCCAAATTTTTCCACGGATTTGTCTGAAAATTGGTATTTGTAGGTCATAACGGGTTCCTGTGCGTGTGGCAAAACATTGCATGTATAGGTCCACGTATTGGTATAGCCCCCATATAAAGATACCTCCCGATATTCGGTATTTTCATTATTTTTGCCACATTTTTTTACGGATTTGTCTAAAAATTGGTATTTGTTGGTCATAACGGGTTCTAGCTCCTTTGGCGAAACATTGCATGTATAGGTCCACGATTTGGTATAGCCCCCATATAACGGTACCTGCCGATATGCGGCATTTTAATGGTTTTTGCCACATTTCTTCTAATGTTTCCTTTACCCTAATGTGGAGGGTATTAAAAGTTTGGCCCGGCCGAACTTGATGTTTTTTTACTTGTTTTTTTTTTTTTTTTTCAAAATTTAGCCACCTATTGCAATCATTTTATCCTCTGATCTCATAAAACAGATTCTATATCAAGGAATTTCCATAATTCCTGGTATATTTCTTTGAATACAGGTGATCTTAAAAGTATATTTTTCTGGTACAAATCGCTACATAGAAAAAATAGACTATATAAAAATGTGTGGCCGAAAATTAAAACTTTGCTTTAAAAATATAGGAATTATTACCTTAGAATATAATGGCAATGCAATTTCTATTGAAAGGAGACTTTATCTGGAGTATGAAGAATTGGTTTCATATGTTTTCAATATCTCTTTCACAATAATTTGTAATAAATTGTAAATATGACCTTCCGTAGGGTACTCACCATGTATCATATCTGTTTATGCTCTTATGAGCCATAGAGAGTAACAGGTATGTTTGGTCTTGTTTACTCAAAGCTAAACAGTTTTAGCAGATGTTGATGGCGATGAAGAAGAAGACAACAACAACTTAACGCACACAGTAACGATTGTGTATCCAAAGAAATCCAAAGCAGAACTCTAACCAAAGAACGCAGAGTTGGGGAAAAACTCTGGACAAGAAAAAAGTAACAAATGACTGTGGGACCTTATTAATTCAGATTGTGTTGTCTAGTGCTCGAATTGTAAATATGCCTAATAGAAATATGAACCTAATACAATTACTTTCTAGCCATTAAATTTTTTTGACTTTTGATAATTACTTTAAGTCCGGCGGTCCTTTGGAATTTTGCCTAATTTTTAGTTTTAATTTTGATTGTCCTAAACGACACTTTGGCCGTTTCAGACGAAACTGCAGTTTTGCATGTATGTCACTATTGCAGGGTAGAAGCGTAATATGATTGAGTATTTGGAATTTCCTTCCTAAACGTACTAAATAATTTATAACGCCTGCACCAGCAGAGTTAGAAAAGTGATTCTTTGTATTTTGATTTATAACTAATTAATAATTTGTTGTGCAAAAAGAGTTACTGGTAATTCGCACTGAACGAGTACAAAATACTAAAAGACTACAAGTGTACGTAACACTAGTTCAACATAATAAACGATAGACTTAAGACACAAGCACAACATGCAAAATCAAACCCGAAAAATTTGCCACTTTTAGCACAGCGTGTTCAAAATATGCTAAGCCCATGGCAATACCACACTTTCAGAACTTATACTGAACGAGTACAAAAGTACGGAAAAAATTAAATTTCATTTGTATGGGTAGACGATATAAAAACTGAAATGAATGCGGCTAAGTTTTGTAGATTTAAAGGACGGAATTTTTTTTAATATGGGAAATTCGTACTTAATCTCCAAGTATACTATAACGTTCTGAATACGATACTATAGAACAAGATTTTTGTAAAATATTGTCCGTCAAAACCGATATTATGAAATTCGTACTAAATTCAGAACTTTTAGAGAACGAGAACATTTCGAAAAAGTACTAACTATTGATCCATAAGTGTAAAAAGTTTTGAAATATACAGGGTGAGATAAAAAAACTGCAAGAAAGTCAAATGCCATAATTTTTACATTTTTTTTTAAATTTTATTGATGAATTGGAAATAGCATCAAATTTTAGAATAAGTTTAGATTTCTTCAAATTGGTCACTTTTGGCACGAATTATGCATTCAAACGGCCAATGAAACTGTCACACGCTGCCCAAATGTTGCTCTGCGGTATTTTGGCCCATTCCCGGCGAAGCGCTTGCTTGATGTGTTCGACACTTTGGCATTTTTTAGTACCAACCTTGCTTTCCAAAATACTCTAGACACAATAGTCCAACGGATTGGTATCCGGAGATTTTGGTCATTGTGCGCTGGAAATGAAGCGAGGAACCTCAATTCGTAACCATTCTTTGGTGACGCGTACTGAGTGCGATGGTGCTGAGTTCTGTTGGATCTGTGGCAAGAGGATTTGCGTGCCCAAGGCTTTAATACACCCTCCAGAAAATTTTCTCGAGAATATTCGGCATTTATTTTGATGTCACAGTCGATTAATACGAGCGACAATCGGCTGTAATGGCGGCCCACACCATCACCATGGCCGGCACTTGAGTTCTGGTGGCCAACTGAAGGTGCACATTTTCCACTGACCTCTTTGGCAAGTAAACACAATAATTTTGTTTGTTTACAAACTGCTGGACAAAGAATGTTGGACGAGATGCTTAGAAATGACAGCAGTCTGCGTTTTCCAAGACTTGATAGTAGAGGAGTTTTGGGTTTTCAGTGCCGCTTGACTATCGACGTATATAGTCACCGGACTGTTAACAGGCTCAGCAAATCTCGGAGATATGTCTAATATGGTCAAATGTCGATTTTGTCAAACTTGGAAAATCATTTTCTAATAGCGGTATTTTTTGATAAAATATAAAGTTATGAAAACCAAGAAAAGTGGTTTAATGTCTGAAGAACAATATTCTGCAAGATTAAAATTGTTCCGTTTTTTATCATCCTCTTTGCCTTCATTACCCATAACTTATTTTTTAGTATTTACTTTTTATTTATTTATTATTATTTTTAATTTACAATTTCTATTTATTTTTATTTGCAGTGAAATGCCACAACCTTGCTTGCCGCTATAGCCGCACTCCACGGTTTGAGCCAACGTGCTTGGCAAGAAGTCTCAAAACTGAGAAGCCATTTACGCAGCGTCGCTACATTTTATTTTTATGATGGATTCTACGCTTCTCCCCATTTCCTTGGGTAAGTCTTTCGTTTTGGAGCTCTTCTGTTTGTTTGCTTTCTATGTACATTGTCTTTCTTGGGTTCTGGTGGTGGTGCTGTCTCTTTCCTCATGTATTGTTGTTGTAGCTTTTTTGTTTTCTTTTTGGCCACTTGTTTGTTGTTGCTGTTTGGTGTTCAGAAAGAAGTAAGGCTTTTATTAGTTTTTGTGGCCAACGACTTACGCGCATAACGGTTCTCATTAAGGCCAACACACTCTCCGTTCACATTATGTACACACTCTCGCACACACACACACACACACATGACATTCCCATGTGTGTTTGTGTGCAGCGCCACAACATAGAGGGAGCACACGCAGCTCATGAAGAAGCCAAACGGCAATCCAAGCTGAACCAAACGGTAGTGTTGAGTGAGTGAACCCCATCAAATGGCTTTCTCACGAAAAGCAAAGCAAAACCCCGTTTCTGGTCGGTCAGCTGATTAACCGCAGTCAAGTGTTATTGGGACGTTGTGCGCATGCGCACCAGCGCTTTGATTTTCTCAGTGTGAGCAGTACATTTACGCAGGAAACAT